CCACCCAAAAAAAAAAAAAACACCAGGAAAAAATTCTGTTGAGGAAAAAAAACAGGGGGGAGACCAAAGTTGTCAAGCAAAAAGAAAGCCCCCCAGAACAGAATTGTGGAGCAAAAACAAACACATTCAAAAAAAAATTTTTTTTTAAAGGAGGCTGCCCCTTTAAGACAGCTGCCATTTTAAAAAAAACCTGTAACTCTGACCTGGTAAGCACAGGGAAGCCAGGGGCTGGGGGGAGCCGGCAAGAGGCGTGGGCCGTTGGGAGGCGGGGGGGACGCAGGAGTGGCTTTGAGAGCCGCGCTTTTTGGGGGCGAGAGCCGCATGTTCCTCTCGAGCTGTGGGCTAGGCACGGCTGGACTAGTCCTTAACTTTCTTATTACAAAACACAAGAACAGCTATAGGGGATCAGACCAAAAGTCCGTCTAGTCCAGTATTCTGTCTTCCAACAGTGTCCAATGCTAGATGCCCCATTAAGTGATCTATTTCCTGTCACCAATTCCCACCTTTTGACAAACAGAGGCTAGGGCTACCAATCCTGGCTAATAGCCATTTATGGACCTAACCTCTGTGAATTTATCTAGTTCTTTTTTGAACCCTATTAAAGTCCTAGTCTTCACAACATCCTCTGTCAAGGAGTTCCACAGGTCGGCTGTACTCTGCATGAAGAAAAACATCCTTTTATTTTTTTAAACCTTCTATCTATAAATTTCATTTTGTGACCTATAGTTCTTGTGCTATGTGAACAAGCAAATGACAGATATGGAAAAAGTGAATAAGTTATGATTTTATAGACCTCTATCATAGCCCCCCTCCTTAGTCTCCTCTTTTCTAAGATGAAAAGTCTCAAGTCTTTTTAATCTCTCTTCATATGGGACCTGTTTCAAACCCCTCATAATTTTTGTTGCCCTTCTCTGAATCTTTTCCAATGTATCTTTTTTTTGCAATGAAGCAACATCTATACGCAGTATTCAAGATGTGGACATGCCATTGATTTATACAGAGGTAATAAGATATATTCTCTCTCTCTCTTTTTTTAAGTTATTCCTAAGGTTTGCTTTTTTTGACCACTGTTGCATATTGAGTGCATATTTTCAGACACCTATCCACAATGATTCCAAGATCTCTCTTTAGTGGTTATAGCTAAATTAATTCCCATCACTTTGCATGTATAGTTGGGATTATTGTTTCCAGAGTGCATTATTCTGCATTTATCAACATTAAATTTATTTGCCATTTTGTTGCCCAATCACCTAGTTTTGTGAGATCCTTTTGAATTTCTTCAGTCTGCTTTATTCTTAATTATCTTGAGCAGTTTGGTATAATCAAGTTTTGCCATTTGTTTACCCCTTTCTCCAGATCATTTGTAAATTGGTTAAATAGGATTGGTCCCAGGACAGACCTTTGGGCTACACCACTAGTTACCTCTTTCTGTTCTGAAAACTGACCATTTATTCCTACCCTCTGTTTCCTGTCTTTTAACCAGTTAAAAGGTTAAAAGGTCCATGAGAGGACCTTCCTTCTTATCCCTTGACTTGACTCAATTTACTTGACTTAGGAGCCTTTGGTGAGGGACCTTGTCAAAGGCTTTCTGGAAATCATCTAAGTACATTGTATCCACGGGATCCCCTTTGTCCACATGCTTGTTGACGCCCTCAAAGAACTCTAGTAAATTAGCAAGGCTACAAAAGATAGTATTATCTTAAAACTTCTATCTAACAATAGTAGATAAAAATGGTGCAAAGTTAATACCTAAAATTATCAGTGAAAGAGACGAGAAGACTATTTTTCTTCCGATTTGATTGCAACAGGGCATAAAACTGTATTTTTATTCAACTGTGTAAAATCTTCTTCACTTGAAAACAAAATTATTTTAACAATAAACAATTTTAGACTTTCAGTCAATTGATGAAGCTATCAGTAGCCTGCCATTTTATAATTAGGACAGGATACAAGCTAAATCATTTGAATGCTGATAATCCTTCAGTTCCTTCCCAAAGTTCTCCACAAGTGCAAAGGACAGACAGGTTGTCTTGCGATTTACTGGGGAATAATCAGAGCAACACAAAGAATCAAGAATCCCTTGGGAGCTTATAGCACCAGTACAGACACAGGAATGTGGGTAGAACTTTGCAATGTGGCTGCCTATTCCTAGGCCAGCTTAACCTGAGTGCAGTTCATACGTACTGTATTCACTGCAGAGTTAGGCCACAATCAAATGAAAGGAACCCAAGACTTACGGACTTAAAGCTCTAAATCTCCATGGCATATGGCCATTTCAATTTTTTTACTTAGGGAAGTTCAGTATTTCAGAAGGTAGTGCTGGTTGCAAGTATAGCATGGGCTATAT